TGGGCACGCATGCTCTTTTAACCGCATGCTCTAGGAACACGAAAACGTTAGTATGGTTTGGGCATGCATGCTCTCGTAACCGTATGCTCGAGGAACACGAACGTTATTATGGTTTGGGCATACATTCTCTCGTAACCGTATGCTCTAGGAACACGAACGTTATTATGGTTTGGGCATACATTCTCTCGTAACCGTCTGCTCTAGGAACACGAACGTTATTGCATACCCCAGACACAAGTAGGGCACTTAAGCTGCGGCTAGGCAAGACGGCACAATCTTTTTACAATGGCGCGAGAGGCAGTCTCTACGATCCTAAAGAAAAGAACACGAAAAAGCCCAAACAGGGACAAGAAATTGAAAAAACTGGATATGTACATATTACCTGAATGCAAAGCGCACTGCTGTTCAACTACTGTGGTCCAGTTCAGCTTGAGCCACATGTCTGTACAACACACGTGTCGCATGCACACCTGTTCATGTACATGCACTCCCCCCGTTCTGTTTTACAGAACATTCTTACGTACTGTGTACCTACGACCGTCAGAACTGGGTGTGCATTGGCTCTCTTCCCAGAGAAACTGTTGCTGCCATAGCTGGCCAGGGTCGTTTATCACTATTACCGGGCCCAACGGAAGAGCGTTGCTCCCCATGGAACAAAGTCTCCATCTTCAACTTGGACGAAATGTCGCTGACATCCGCCTAACCCGGTCAGAATGACCTCACGACCGAACTGAAAAGCATTGCGGATTTGCTCAATGTGAGCTCCGCGAGACTCTGGGAGGACCGCGGGGGACACCCTCAATGGTGGAGGAGGGTTGTGGCTCAGGCGGAGGAAGCGTATGAGGGTCGGCTAGCAGCCAGCCCTACACAAAGGCTCCATTTGGCGCCAGATTCCGATGGGGAGGAGTACCGTTATGGTAAATACTCACTGTTAGAGCAATGGGTGGTAACCATGGTTCTGAAATCCTTTCCGGAGGTCATCGAACAGGAGGCCTTAAATGTTAGGACAGTGAGCGCAACGGCTCTCCTCTTCAGGGCTTTCTGCAAGATCCAACCTGGTTCAGCGTCAGATACGCAGGCTATGATCACCTTTATTGTTAACCCTCCTGTAGCTCAGGATGTACCTAGTGCCATGGATAGTTCTCGGAAGTGGGTTCGCGTGTGTCGGCGTCTCACTCAGGTTCGTGCACAGCTTCCTGATCCCAGTTTGCCTTCGAATGGGGTTGATTCTATAGGCCGGTCCATCTTGATAGGGTTGCAGGGTACATCGTTTCGCGTTCAAACATGGAGGGAACAAGCAAGGTCGACTCCATGTTGATAGCAGAGCTCAAGCTAGTGTCGTTTCATGCTCCTACTAAAGGTCAGGCGGCACAACCCCCTAAAAAGCCTAGGGTGAATAAACTTCAGGAGGACGCCAATCCGCCTGAGTCCCAGACAGGATCCCCCCAAATCCCACCAAACAGCCTGCAAAGGGTCAGGGTAAGGAAGGTAAGGGAGGTAAAGGAAAGACCCCAAAAGGAGGGTCTAAAGGGGAGTCATCGGCCACGCGCCGATCGGAGGATGCTACATCGGTTCCATCAGTTGCAAAGGCTACAGCCATAGCGCCGTAGAGCAGGAGGCCCTAAAGATCCTTAAAAAGTTGCGGTTATCCTTAATCACCCTCACATCTGGCGGGGTTCCTCTTCTCTTTCCAGAGAAGGGGGGAGTCCCTCTTTCTCTGCTGCTGCGGGCGCTTGCGTGTGTCGCTTTCTCCCTCAAGGGGTTCCGCAAAGATTTGGCGGGCAAGTTCAGTCTTGAAGCAGTTTTGATGTCACCAACGTAACAAGACCATCCGTGACACGCCGCCATGCCCAGAACCATGTTCTGGTTCTGAGTATTCAGAGTTGGAGAATCACGCTTGAGGTGGAGGATATGAGGATCGTGATAAGCCCGGATGATCAATCTCGCCTTAGGTTTACGACCAACAACATCACCAGACACCTCATCAGTCACGGCTTTCCAGGACAGAACCCAACGCATGCCCAAAATACGATCCCTAGGTACATTATGACGACTGGCTAGGCCCACAGCTTCATGCTCCAAGTAAGAACTGAGTTCGTTCTTCATTCATGGCCCCCCAGGAATTCCAGCTTATCGGATTCCGTAAGGGCACGGAATTGCACTTCAGCACGCTTCTTGGGTCTCACTCAAGACCCCTTGAGTTCTGCCACCCTGCTTAATTTGATGGACGGCCCAGGCCTGAAGATCCATACAAATGTCGAAAACCTGGCTTTGCTCGCTAACGACTTGACAAGAAACTTTCAAAAGTCCATGGTGGCACTGTTCTTGGGGTTTCAGGTATCTCCAATGGAGTTGGCAAAGCATCCGGTCGTCAAGGCCGCCATATCGAAACTGCAACACCCCTGCAGCCCAAATCACCCTCAGACAAATCCAGAGGGTTACCAACATCTTCTTACGGAACACACTCTAACTCATCACCAACACCATCATCATCACACAAGTCATCAAGCCAATTAGACCAACAAGCTTGATCAGTCTTCGGAGCTGGGGCGTGGCTGCGATCGCGGCTCACTGCTGTCCTGGGTTCTGCTTGGCCTCGACTGCAGCTAGGCGCCGGAGGGCGCCTCCCAAGTGCTCCTGGAGACACAGGATGTGGCCGTGAGATTCTCAGTGTCTCGACTTGTCATTGGCGGTGCGCCAGAACTCGTCGGTGTCCTGGGGGCCCTGAGCTCACGGTTGTCTCCGGACGGGCTGTGTTATCGGTCCGGGCTACCAGATCACTTTCAGGTACTTTGGGTTGTGAGCCACTTGAGGTACTCCGACTTTTCCTGGAAGACGTGGTGGCACATCTGGCCCGCAAACTTGCCGTGCTTCACCGTCTCCTGCCCCAGCTGCTGAAGGCCCTCGATCCTGGTAATCTCCTGGGCGGCTGCCGGCTGAACGTTCTTCTGCTCGGCCCTGCCGTCCTGCTTGGCGGGCACGCTTGCCGGTTACACGGTGAGTAGGCCGGATTTCAACACTGGAGGACGAGCCGCGAACTTGCGGTTCGACATCATGCACGTCACTGTCTTCAGGTTCCTGACAAAGATCCTGAGAGATACCACGCCTCGTCGGGCAACTCGACCCAACAAGGAGTCCCAGTCAAAACTGCTTGGATGTAGGCCTGGATGGCATCCGCCATCTGCGCATCGTGCCCAGGTAAACTTGCCCATCTTGATGCATCAAGCGTAGCCGGAAAGTTCCCCAAGTCCTGCAGCAGAGCGGCCGCCTTGTTCTAATCCTTGACTTGCTCACCAAGTAGAACGCCACGTCCTTTGAACTTCCTTGCGGGGTCATCTTCCGTTTTGACTTAGCCTCCGCAACGACGTCGTCATACTCTCTGACCTGCGTGAAGTCAAAGACGCCTTGATCCCAAAGTCCTTTCCAATCTTTCATGAATGCTTTCATGGCGTTTGGCTTGAACAACATCTCTTTGCGTGTAACGGGCCTTGTCACCATGGCATTGAAGAAATGTACAGCGCTTTGTTGGACTTTATCTCTGTGCTTAGCCTCCAGAGCGGATACGTTTGATGCTATCGAGATCCAAACCTTCCGTAAGTTGTGCATCTTCCCAAGGTCCCATCCTTCCTGGCTAGCTGCACCACAATCTTGACACGCAGCGAAGATGACAGGAGTTGCCGGGTCTTGACCTTCCTCCTTCCGCAACTTCTCGATGGCCTTCTTGATCTTTTTCTCCAACTTGTGCCGTTCTTTTCTGCCTTCTCATTTTTCTTCTCCGCTTTAGCCTTCTTCTTTTCGGCTTCCTTGGCGATCTCGATCTCGATCTTTCGACCTGCGCTGCCAAGTTTATCCCATTCTTCCAGAGTGTATTTGTCACGAGGACGGTAAGAAGGGAGAAAACGTCTGCTATCCCTGCCAACACGATAAGCACCACCTCTGTTGTCAATTTTGCAGGGTTCACCGTCATCGTTGAGATAGATCTTCCCGTCCGCTCGCAGAAAGACGCCGACGTCGCTTGCAGGCTCAAAGGCGCCCTCGATGTAGCGGACACACATCGGGCATTTGCTCACACAGTTCAAGCAAGGAAGGTTGAAAACAAGGCTTCAGGCTTCGCGGCTTCACCATGCTGCATGTGAGTTTGCCAGCTGCCAGCATCAACAACGACTTGGGCAAAGGCATGTCTCTGGGTCTGAAAAGGGATGGCTTGGTGCGGGCCGAACAATGACATTCCTCTTACCACGTTTGAAAAAGGCGAAGCTGACACTCCTTTTCGAGTACATGGTCGCTTTACAGGATTTTGGATTGTGTATCGCTCTTCAGGGTGTCCGCTGTCGGGGTATTGAGCTCCGATGACCCACTCCTTCCCAATTTTGAAAAGTTGTTTTGATTGCTTCCATGAGGCCAAACCGAAGCCCTAAACTGAAACTTCAAGCCCAAGCAAACTTAAAACAACAACGTTAAAAGATAAAGTGTCGACGGGCCCCTTGCCCATAAGAAAGGGTCGGGCTGAGTTCTCCGACTACTCTTTTTCAGCCCTCAAATGGCAGGGTCGGCGTGTCCGTTTAAAAGGTTTCGTCGTTTGTTTTCTGGTCTTGACCAGTTGGTGCTTCCAGTCCTCGCGTCTTCAAGATTCAAGAATGGTGCCGTTTCTTCGTTCACCAAGTTGCTTTGAATCTGAGAAGAAGAACCTGAGGTGAGTTTGAAAGGCTCTACCAACATGTAGAATATGGAGAGGACTTGGAGAAGGGCGTTAATTTGGAGCGAGAAAGCAGCGGAAGTTCCGGGTAACCAAGACACGCAATTTGAGCACATCCTTCTTCCTCTCTTTCAGAGCTTTCGCCTCAAACTTCTTCCTCTTCTAAAGTCACGACCTCTACTCTCTCTCTCTACTCTCTCCCCTAGTCTCTATCAATTGAATGTCTCTTCCCCTTCAGGGAGGCTGTGCGGCGGCTTCGGCTCTGAGCTCAACCAACGGAGCGAAGGACCTCTGAGGCTTTGGCCAGGTGGTCTCCTGGTCCGTGGACGGCCTGAGACAAAGCGAGGGCCCCAAACGAACTCAAAGAACTCTCAAAGAAGCCACACTCAACTCTTCTCTTCTTCTCTTCTTCTTCTCTTCTCTGACTCTTTGAGTCTCCAGGCGTCAGCTGCTTCAGCCGGAGGGTGCCCCGGGGGCCCCGGGCATCCCCGGCCATGTAGAAGTCCGCGATCAGCTTCCTCTCCCAAAGTCCGCCCCTCGTCCCCCCCCCTCCCCCTGGAACTCCCAAATGCAAAAGAACTGACAAGACAATGAAGACAATGAAGCTGCAGGTCCGTGGATCTGTCAGGTACTGCTGCTGCTGCAGGTCGGTCATGGGGCCAAAGAGCCTCGACGAGTCGACGAGCAAGGACCGAGAAGGGTTCCAACCCCAAGTCGTGAACCTCTCGAACTGCTTCCGCGTTAGAGCCAGCACCTACCAGAGCCACTAGATGCCACTAGCAAAAGCGCGGAGTTTCTCAGAGATTCTCAAATGTTTGGCGCTCCTCCACGCTGGTGACCGCCGAGACGAAAGCGGCCCGCGGGGCATTCTTCAGCAGCGCCAGCCTCAGAGTGATTCAAAAATATTCCCCAGCCTAACCAGCCTAACGCCTTCCTCCAACTTTGCGCCGGGCTCGCCAAAGAGGTCGCCGGCCTTGTAGCGCTTGTACTCCTGCTCGTCGTTGCCCGTCCGCACCCAGACCCGGGCCTGTGCCATAGAACGAGCTGCGGAGAGGAGACGAAAGCGGCTTCCAAACCGAATCTCTAAGAATTCGGGCCACGCCCGAGAGCATGATGAAGAACTCCTTGCCCTCTTCATGCTGGCGGATGATGTCCTGAGCACCACAAAGCAACCGCTCCCTTCGGTTGGGTGACTTACGGTGAGAGCTCTCTCAGAGCTGAGAGGTGCCTCTTTGGGTTTGTAGGTCCGCTTCTGCAAGGTGTCCGCGATCCGTGCGATGCCCTCCGGCGGCATGGTTTCCAGCCTCAAACACAAACACAATCCTCTTGCTTTCTCCTTCTTTTTGCTTCTTTTTGAATGTCTCCGAGGAGCACTTTGGTCTCCATCAGAAGGCTCTTATATTTCTCGCGCGCATAGAACCTGCCCAGGAGGTCAAAATGGAGAAGCAAGCTGCGCACTCATCGCACGCATCGCATGGCTGAATGCGCTGAGGGCCCAGGCTGAAAGCGGGTTCCCAAATCCACATAGTCCTTACCTGCCGTCACTGTCGGATTCAGAGACTTTGAGAAAGGGGACCCACACAGTGAAAGCCGCAGCAAGGCGTTTAAGGGCTCGGCGGGCAAGCTTGGCGACTACGCACCTGAGACCGAGACGTAAAGCGGAGAGAGAGGAACAAACACATATACATATGTTTAAAAGCGAGTTATCTTCTTCACCTCTCCCTTTGCTTTTTTTAAAGAAGTTGTGTGGTGTGTTCTTGGCGGGAGTGGTGGGAAGAGCAAGTTCGGGGCTCCGGCTCGCCCTGGGCCTTCATCTTGTAAGGCCGGGGATAGCTGTACAGCACGGAGGCCTCCGAGAGGAGAAAAGAAAGGAACGGAGGACTTTTGCCCCCCCTGCTTTCATCATATGCTTTCACTTCTCTCCTAGCGGCTCCTCTAGCGCTCCTCGCCTCGTCGATCAGGGAGCCAGGAGGCTTGATGGTGCAGAGCCTTTTGTTCAAAACACGCGACTTGTGACTCACATCTGACTCACTTCACAACTTTCATTTGGGCTACGTGTCGCCCTTGTAGCAGGAGATGGTGCCCATGAGGACCACGAAGAGCCCGTCCCCTGAGAGTCAAGATACGTCATCGGCCCGGAAAGATGTGATGGGGATAAGATGCGATACGGAATCTACCGAAAAGATCAACGGTCATCAGCGAATAAGTCGGCTCCACTAGTGCACACCCTCTGATTGTGAAAGGACACAAAGCCACGTCTGCTTTGCACGATACACTAAGGAGGCAACGGCAAACAGCATGGAGCCAAGGCTCCCAGGAAACAATTTTGGTGCTGCTGATGTGGTCTCAGGTTTGTTTTCCGTAGTATTTTCCGATGTTCTTCGAATCCATTTTCCGGTTCCTCGTCCTGCTGTTAGATAGAATAATATTAATAGCAATTGAAAAAATGAAAAATCATGAACAGCCACGAAATTCATGAAATTTATGGAATATCATGAAAGCCACGAACATCATGAAACATGATGAACACCATGAAAAATACAAAACCATCTGATAATCGTGAAAAGGACTGGGAAATTATGAAACACATTATGACAATGAATGGACAATTGCACATGATGAACCATCATGAAAAATCTTGGGAGATGATGGAAATCATGTAAATTATGAAGAATCATGGGAGACCATGCAAATGATGAACAGCCATGAACAAAAAATCACGAGCACTTATGAAATCTGATGAACAATCATTGAACGTGATGAACAATCATGACAATGATGAAACATTATGAAACATGCTGTTACATGGTGAAACATGATGAAATATGATGAAATATGATGGCGAAGGATGGAGAATGATGAGAAATAATGGGAAATCATGAAAATCATGAAACATGATGAACCATGATGAAATATGTTGAAATATGATGAAACATGATGAAGTATGAGAAATAGTGAAACAGCGTAAAAAAATCATGAAAATAATGACAGTCATGAATAATCATGAAAGATCATGAAATCCAGGGCCATCATGACAATTATGGAAACCAATGAACATCAAGAAACATGATGAAACATGATGAACAGTCAGGAATTGTGATGAAACATCATGAAACATGATGAAACATTATGAAATATGATGAAACATCATGAACATCATGAAAATCTTAAAACACAATGAACATCATGAAGCACCAAAAAAAATGAACACTCATGAAACTCATGAGAATCATGAAAAAAGCGCGAAAACCATGAAAAGTCGTGATAACCATGAAAAGTCATGAACATCAAGACAAGTCATGCAAATCATGAAAGATCTTGCGAATTATGAAAACAAATGATGAGAGATGATGAAACTCATCCTAACGTTGCTCTTTCTCTCGTATTCGGAGCTTGCTTGCTTGGTGGCGCTCTTGTGGGCTTGCTTGCTCGCTTGCTTGCTTGCTGACTTCTTGCCATCCTGACTCTGTGCTCTTGCTCTGAGCTCAAGCAAGAGGAACCCAAAAAATCTCAAAAACAAAACGGAAAACTATACGGAAAAAATACCGGCACCTGCTGATGTGATGCCAACAGTAGGAAACGGAATCGTGAATTCTGGATCCCCTGCCACACCGAGAGCAAAAAGAAACAGGCCTCTCGTACCTGCTCTATCTGAAAAACCCTACCTTTCTTGACCTCATCAGGACTCTGGGCCCACCCCCCAACAAGTAGCAAGTGTTCCTTTCCTGAACTGAATTGGGGGAGCCTTTCAGATTCGCCAAGAGGCGAGATAACAATTGCCTGCCTTTATCTGCATTTGCATCTGCTTGCTTACTAATTGCGAGGAAGGCCTGCTTCGCCCTCGGTGCAGAGTGGCTCGGTGGCATAGCGCAGGTGGATTTCCATGGCCTCAAACAAACGAAACAAAGGAAACAGAGGTCTCAAAACCCCAAGCTGCTTAAGCTCTCATGCCCTCTCCCCATCTCCGTCTGCCCCTGTCTGCCAGCCGCCCGGCCCGGACAAACTTTGTGATCTCCACTTCCGTGAACTGAAAAGAGCGAGAGGTATGCGAGAGACACTGCCACAGGATTGGCCCGCCCCGCCTGCTGGAAGATCGGGCAAGCCGACAGCGCCACCTGAAATGGGAAAGTCGGCTGCCATGGAGGAGAATCCGGCAAAAACATTGAGGAGAAATCTTCTTTACACGAGCAGTCGAGTCGAGTGGCAAAGAGCTGGTTCTCCCAGGCAACATGCTTGTTCCAGTAGGGCTCCTTGTAGTAGCCTTCGGCACCACTTTCCCTTGGAAAGGAGGAGTCTCGAAACTCTAAACGAAGAAGCCGTTTAACAGAGATCCTTTCGTCTGCAAAGATCTCTCGGCCTGTGCTCTGCATCTGCTCCGCGAAGACGGCGCCTAAGCAGGCCGGAGCAGGCCAAGCCGCAGAAGGCGGAAGAAGGCGGAGGCGGAAGTTTATTGCAACATAGAGGTGCAGACATGTGCAGACATGCATTTTCTTGGAGGGGGTGCTAAGACAACTTCTACATTTCTGCGAACCGTTTGCTCGGCGCCTCGTCGGGGCCTCAGCACCGGCTTCGGCTCCTCCGTCTCCGACTCCACGTCGCTGCCGCCGCCTCGCAAAAGAGACAAAAGAAGGATAAGAAAAAAGACAAAAACGACAACAGGACTCCTCTGGAGAAGTGAACAAAAAATACCAAAAACTACGCACCGCACTCACCGTCACCCTGCTTCACTTCTACACTTCCACGGTCACATCTTCACTCCGGCAAACCCCCTTCTCTCAGGATCTGAGCGGCTGCTGGAGCGCGGGGGCCACACGTAGGCCCCCCGGGCCGCATTGCCCACCTAGCGAAGCAGCTTACAGCTAAAGCCACAGAGTTTGAAGATGCTTGAAGCTGCTCAAAAGAAGCTTTTTTGGCCTCTGCGAGCTCATCTTTTCCATTGAGCCTCAAGTCTTACACCGGCACATACCAGCACTCCTCGATTTACCTCCGACCACAACGCCACAACCTGGGGCCCTGAACAGGGCGTCGTTGGCGTCGCCGTCGCATTCTGCAAGATTGTCAAGTTTGGTGAACTTCTCTCTCGGGACCTGAGAGACCTCGCATGACACATCTCTTCAAGAGTTGCACAAGAGTAATAAGAGTATCTGTTCAATCCGAAGAGGACACACGCGCAGTTTCAGGTCGTGGCCACCACTGGGCAATTGCAGTTGCCCATCTCTGCCACAAGAGATGCTTTCAGCCAAAAGCGGTGGGAATAGTGAAATGAAATCAGAAACAAGCAAGGAACATGTGGAAGCAAATGATCAGAGAATTGCAGACCGCGCCAGTTTTCTTTCGTTCTCTGAGAGGTTTAGCAGCGGAGTGGACCTAGGCTTGAGAGTTGTGGAAGGCTCGACTCTTCGAGGCTTTGATCTCAGCGCTCGGCGGCGCAGGCAGCAGCGAACTCAGTATTTCAAGGGCTCGCCCTCCAAAGTGCGAGCCGGGCAGCAGGGCCTCCAGACACGGGCTTTTGCGCTAACTTTCTACGAAGCAATCTTGGCAACCAAACGGCGAGCTGTGCGTAGACCTGGGCCTCAGCACCACATGCGCAACGGTCAGGGAATGAACGCACTCTCAAACTGATGCTTCTGCTGTACTGGTGCTGCATCGAAAGATATCGGACCTACACAGGGCTCATTTTCCTGCTTGATGCTTTGTTTCAGCGCTGCTGTAAGACCATACGTTCGGATGCCTGCACATGCCCTGTCTAGCGCAGAAAACTTGTGTATGGTCCTTTTGCGCTCTTGACTGAGGGCTTTCTTTGTCAGATGACAAATTGTCACAAGCCGTTCCGAGACCATGTGAGTTCAATGTCCAGCTCAGCAGTTCATGATAATGATGACGAACAGATGCATACCTTGCATCTCAATGGATACTGATACAGATCACAACGCGGGGAAAGACAGAAAAAGACCAGCAAAGACCCTGGGATAAAGGAAATGCCCTCGTAACGAGAAGCGGAGCAGAGATGTTACATAAAGACATGCATGGAGATATTTCTTCTGCTGTGCGGTCTTTGAGAAAGTGTTGCAAGTGGAAACTGGGTGGGACTCACCTGAACAAAGAACCTTCCTCAGAAAAAATGAAATTGCGTTCATGAAAAAGTGCGGCAGGCGGTCACCTTTTTTCCACACAAAGCGGGTGCGCGGGAGTACTGAAAGGTTCGTTTGCCCTAAGGGCTCAGGGGGCGGGTGGGTGGGCCTCTAAGACTGTCCAACCTACCTTACTACCCAGCTTGAGCCTGCCACACACACATCAGAACCCAACGTACGCAAAAGCTGTACGAATGAGTTCATCAAAAAGTGCGGCAGGCGGTCACCTGGAGTACTGAAAGGTCCGTTTGCCCTAAGGGCTCACACCCCTCCCATATTTGACCGGGTGGTTAGGCCCGGGCGCGAAACGCGCCACAGGCCCCCTTGCCCGGTTGACTCCCTCGCGCCACACCCGCTCATCGTGGGGTCAGGTCTGCTTGGGCCATGCCTTTCGCCACATCTCGCGAAGTGGCCCTGGCGTCCCAAATATAAGTCTGGTAGCTATCTGAGGACCACCTACCAAAACGTTTGACGAGCGCAGCATTTCCGAAGGCCGCCCACAGTGCCGAGGCGCCCCCAAAACGGAGGCTGTGCGCCTCAGCAGCTTTCTGGATCAAAACTGTGATCAGGGCCCGGGGGAGGGGCTTGCTCCTTGTCCCTGAAGAGCAGGTCGTCAGCCTCTGGTCCTCCCGGAAAACGGGAGGGGAAGGCTTTGAAGAGCTCGATAGCAGCTGTCACCGGGCACAGGGAAAGACCAGTCCGGTAGTGGTTGCGGTACTCTCCCCGATTGTACACGTCCGCCTTTGAGCCCCGGATAAAAAGCGTGAGCTCGTCAGCCTGCCGGATTTCCGACAGGCGGACCGGGCGTCCCTCTTCGTTAGGGAGAGGTCGCATCCCCGAAAGCCTCTTTCGAAGCCCACATACCCTGCGTCGAGGTACTCCGAGGCACGCAGGAGGTAGAAGAAAGCTAGGTTGACAGCAGCCCACTGCAGCGCAGCCTCCTCAGGGGGAAGGCAACGTCCCGCCAGATGTGACTTCAACCATCGTAACCTGGCTGGGGTCACAGGGCGGCGCCTCTCCTTGGTGCCATATCTCTTCTTCAAACCGGCCAAGGTGAGAGGGACCTGGGGCAGGCGCGCGGTGGGATCAGGGAGGCCTGAGGTGAGGTGAAAGGCCCTGATGGCGGCCAACCGGGTTTTCACCGGGGGGAACCCCTTCTCTTCGGTGCCCGTGGGCTCCAGGGAGAAAGAGACTGAAGCCCCAGCCCTAGCGGGCCCCAAAGGCTAAACGAGAAACTCGCCTCAGCTCCCCCAGGATCGCAAAGCGGGCCGCGGCAGCATCCCTGAAGGATAAAAACGAGTCCCCACAGCCAGGCGAAAATGATTCTTTTTCATCGAACACTCAAACGCCTGTGTATGCAATCCATGGTCATCATGTGGTTTCACATGCATGGTAAAACATGCTAGCCTAGGAATACAAATACGGGGACATGTACATGTACAAAATGTTTGTCACCCCGCCTCCATCATTGCTACATCTCTGATGGCAACTGATGGACTATCAAACGTTTTGTGAGTACGAGTGTTCCAAACAACAGCGTACGGGTACAACCAACACAAACTACAGTGCTCTCAAGCTCTACTGGCTCGAAGTGGTTTCAGGCTACTTGGCACTATACTATACACTATGCGTCCCACAATCCGGAGAACCGGGCGGCCCCAGAAATTGTGGTCTCTTGACTCACCCAAGAGGAGGCGTTGCGCAAGAATGCAAATCAAGTTGTTGATACGCAATCAAGTGACGAAATGAAACCTTTTCAGCCATGATGGCATCTCCAGCTGGCTCATCGTTTGTTTTCACACTTGAGTGCGGCTTGAGCCAACACGTATTGT